CATGCTGCTGAGTTCGCCCTAGACTGCGTTGTCGGGCGAATCCGGAAAATTCTGTCTGATCGTGGCTGCTGCGAAGACCGAGGCAATCTGGCTGTACGGATTGTCTCGGACGCGGTGGCCGCCTTTAGGTCGGGATCTCCGGATTCGCGTCGGAGGCACACGCCGACGTGTATCGGCGTGTGCAAGATCTCCACCGGAACGGGGGTGATCCGCAGGACGAGGCGGTCGAAGCCTACCGGCGCGAATTGTGGCAGCTGGCCCGCTCTCCAGGAGCTGGCACCGCCCGAAAGAGGACGGTAGCGGCGGTCCTGCCGAGCTTCGATGCTTGGCTGGACCGCCGACACGGGCGACTCACCTACCGGCTCACGCAGGTGCTCACCTCACATGGTTGTTTCGGTGAGTACTTGCACAAGGTGGGGGCGGAGGGGTCTCCCGCGTGCCACCAGTGCGGCGCGGAGCTGGACACAGCGCAGCACTTGCTTGCCGCCTAGCTATTGGAGGGGACCTCTCGCTCCCGGCCGTCGTTTCGGCCATAGTCGAGAGCGAGAGGTCCTGGAACGCGGTGTCCTCCTTCTGCGAGACTACTGTCTCGCGGAAGGAGTATGACGAGCGGGATCGGGAGCGCACCGATTCCGCTCGCATAGAAAGGAGAAGGAGGTTGAGGCGGGCCAGGCGACGGCGGCTAGCTGCCGCCCCTGCCGCAGGGGGGACTTGTTCCCCCCCCCCTGTAAACCCTCACCTCCTCCTGGCAGTCTGCCGCGTGGGGCGGCTCTGCACACGTAGCCGGCAAGCTCAAGCTTTGGACTCGCCGGCTGCCAGCACGGCCGCCGGGCATGGGGGGAGGTTCGTCACCCGACGCCCCCCCCCCCACTCCTTTGGAACATGCCCGCCCCTTGCGCCTCGTGGGGCCGTTGGTCCTATAGCGGCATATTTCCCTGTAGGTCGGGGAACAGAATACGCCCACAGTAATCCCTGCTTGTCGTAAGAGGCGACTAAAAGGGACAGGCGAGACCGTGGGCTGTGGCACCCGCGGTTAGGTGGGGAGGTATTCACTCCGCACCGGAGATGGCGCTCCTCCCTTCGTTGCGGGGGGAGAGGCGCGGGGGGCACCGGTAGCGTTCGTAAAAGATCCCGGTGCCCCTCCCTAATGCGCCGTGGCCGGCCACCGTGAGGTTTTAGTGGGTATTCCCCTTGATATCAAATCAAGGGGCGAGTCCCACACTACCGCCTCCTTATAAGGGGGCGTTCGTAAACGCATTTTCCCATGTAAAAAGAAAAAAAAAAGCTCGACCACGCATCAGGGTCCGGGGCCTGTAAGGCCTTCCGAGACGTCCTTGGTGCCAGGAAACGAACGGCGCAATGGCGACGGTGATATAAGGAAACCTGAACCGCAGCCGGGTCGCCAACAGCTTCCTCACCCAGCTGTCCCTGGAAATGGGCGCTGACGTGGTGGTGGTGTGCGAGCAGTACCGAAACCGGGACTACTCGTCATGGTACGTCGAGGACCTGGGCGCCGCCGCACTCAGGGTGCGGGACCTTCGGAAGGTTCCGGTGGTGCACCGCGGCCCGGGTCGTGGATTCGTCTGGGTCAAATCCCGGGACGTTACATACGTGAGCGTCTATCTCTCCCCCAACGATAGCGCTCACGTGTTCCAGGAAAAGCTCGACGAACTGGAATTATAGCAGGCGATTTCAACGCCAGGCCTCCAGAGTGGGAGATGCCAACCTCCAATGCCAGAGGCAAACTGGTAATGGAAATGGTATCCAGGCTGGGGTTGATTGTGCTCAACTCGTGCACCACGCCGACCTATCAGCGACCCGGTTTCGGCGTTTCCATCCCAGACGTCACTCTGGTTTCAGAGTTTCTGGGTCGTCAAACCAGGGGCTCGAAGGTGATGGAAGATTTTACTGGCAATAACCACCAGTATATCACCTTCCGGATATCGTCCGACGGGTCGGCGCTGCACGGCAGATCCCGGCGCCCACTCGGCTGGAACACAGCCAAGCGGGACGAGGGAAAGTTCACGGAATGTATGAGCCGCGGCCTCGGGGGCATACCACCTATACCCCGCGATCATCCCGGAAGGAATGTCGCTGAGGCCATGGTGAGCCACACCATGGGGCTCATCACTCGGACTTGCGACGCTTCGATGCCCCGCAAAAAGCCGTGGAAAGGCCGAGCCCAGGCGTACTGGTGGACGGGCCAGATCGCCAGCCTCAGACGGAAGTGTCTGAGGCTACGTAGACTGGCGCAACGAGCCCGCCGTAGAACGGAGCCCTCCGACAGGTCAGCCGAGTAGAGGGCGGTCAAGAAGACGCTCAACCGGGCTATTAAGGATTCCAAAGTCCGCTGCTGGAGGGAGCTGTGCGACAAGGTGAACCGTGATCCCTGGGGACAGGCGTACAAGCTTGTCACCCGCAAGGTCCGGAACCGCCGCACAGGGCACATTGGGCGCAGCTACCACCGAGCGCGTGGTGGACGGATTATTCCCCAACAACCCGGCAAGGGACTTCTACCCGGAGCCGGTTGACGGAGACGTCGTTCCCACGTTTACTCTAGAGGAGCTGCAGTCGGCGGTGGGCTCCTTGAAACCGAGGAAAGCCCCGGGCCCGGATGGCATTCTAGCACAGGTCCTGAAGATGGTGGCGTGACTCCACCCGGACCTTCTGCTGAAAATGTATAACACCTGCCTCTGGGGTGGGGGGGGGGGGGGGTCTTCCCGTCGCCTTGGAAGGATGCGCGGCTTGTACTGATCACAAAAGGAAGGGTGCCTCTGATTTTCCGTCATCTTACCGACCACTGTGTATGCTAAACACAGCCGGTAAGGTGATGGAGAAAATGCTGAAGACCTGCCTGCTTCGGGCAGTGCAAGCCGCCGGCGACCTGTCGGACCGACAGCACGGATTCCGGTGAGGGCACTCCACCATCAGTGCCATCTCCGACGTGGTCGAGACTGTCGGAAGAGCCGACGAAGCGTGCCACCGGACCCGCCCGCTGGTCCTCCTCGTCACGTTGGACGTGCGCAACGCTTTTAACTCGGCGAGGTGGATAGATTTGCTGAGGGCGCTCGAGCGATTTCGAGTCCTTAGCTATTTGTTGGCCATGGTCAGCGACTACCTGCGGGAGCACTGCGGGTCCGTTCTGGGACCGGACCTCTGGAACGTCTCGTTCGACAGCTTGCTCAGTATCGAAATGCTTAGCGACGCGTACCTCGTCGCGTACGCGGACGACATCGCCGTCGTCATTACCGCCTGCAGCATCGAGCTAGCACAGCTGAAGCTGAACCGGGTGATGCGGCGGGTCGGAGACTGGATGGACGGTCACGGCCTCCAGCTGGCGGTTTCGAAAACCGAGATCGTCATGCTCACGAGGAGGTATATACCCACCGTCGTGCCGATGAAGGTGGGTGACGTGACCGTAGCAGACACGTTGCAGCGTGAAGTACCTGGGGGTGCAGCTAGACAATAGGCTCACCTACTGGGACCATATACGCGCAGTCTCCGATAAGGCGATGGCGAGGTCGGGAGAACTGAGCAGGCTGATGGCCAACATCGGCGGGCCGAGGCTAGGGAAACGCAGGCTCTTGATGTCCACGGTCCAGTATATGCTCCTGTACGGAGCTGAGATATTGGTCGGGTCCATGGACGTCAAGAAATACAGGGCATGCATAGCCTCCGTTCAGCGACGTGGAGCGCTGCGGGTCGCCAGCTGCTACCGCACAGTGTCGGCGCTCGCGGTGCTCGCGATCGCCGGAATCCTCCCCCATCAACCTTCTCGCCAAGGAGAGAAGGAAGCTGGGCAGGACAGAGGCCGCGAGTCTGGCGCGCGCTCAGACACTCTCGAAATGGCAGCGCCGCTGGTCCGCGGACAGCACGGGAAGATGGACAGCCCGGCTGATCGGGAACCTGAGGCCCTGGCTGGAGCGCGCTCACGGCGAAGTAGATTTCTACCTCAGCCAGCTCCTGTCAGGACATGGGTATTTCCGGTACTATTTGTACCGGATGGCCAAAGTAAGGTCCCCGACGTGCTGTTATTGCGACGCCGAGCGAGACGACGCGTTCCACACGTTCTTTGTTTGCGCTCGCTTCAGCGAGGCGCGCTCCGTAGTTGCCAGCGCAGCGGAACACGACATCACCCCCGATAACATCGTAGGGGTGATGCTACGGAGCGCAGAGCTGTGGGATCCAGTCTCGGCGTGCGCGTCTTCTGTCCTGGTGGCGAAGAGGGTCGATGGGTGTCTTCGGGACCCCCGTCCGGGTTCCCAAGACTAGAGGTGGCCTGCTCGTACGCGCAGGCCAGCACGCCACGGGTCCATACCGAAGTAATGCGATGAGCGGACTCCGGTATGGTCCTACTTGTGGAGGAAGAGGTGGTTTTAGTGGGTAGGATCTTTTTGAAGGAGAAGTCCCACAATCCCACAAAAAAAAAATCTTATTTGAGCTTTCCAAAAATAATGTTTCGTTTGGCGACATCTTATGAAAAACTACTTTCTGTATAGATGATTTTCCGCTCCTAGAATAAATATTTATTTCAAACACGCGATAAAATGGATAAAACGATGACATTTTAAAAATTTAAGGGAGTACTTTCGAAGATCCATTAAAAGTATTCTAGGCTTTTGTTCGCACCCCAGAGGATCCATCGATCCTTTTGTTTCGTCATCGAATGGTGCATACCCAACATCTTTAGGAAACGATCCTACATCATCGTCATCCTAAAATAATAAAATTCTCGTTAATATGACGATACATTATAATTAAATAAAAAATCCTGTCTGTACATAAATGTAGTATAAAATAAAAAACTTCAAAAAAGTAAAAAAATTACGCCAAGTACATGAAAAAGTGGAGGACTTAAAGAGTAATCATAGAAAAATAGAAAATTTCCCTAAAAAAATTCAAAAAAGTAGAAAAAGAAGTGAAATCGAAATGAGCTGCCAGTATATGAAGGTGCTTTCCAGCAAAGTGCAAAGGCGACACTGTATAACACAATGAAAAATTCGGTGCTTTCCAACTATGCGCAGCTAAAATGCTGTGTTCAACAGTGCCGACGTCCAGACCCTAATGACAACTCATGTAAACTGACTGCACCACACTTTGGCGGTGAAATGAAGAAGCTAAATATTGTATCAACCACAAACTGAGACTGTTTAGACATTTGCCTAGATGTCCGTGGCCTGGAAGTCAAATGCTTGGCGTGACCAGGCAAGGTCAAGGTTTTGATGAATAAGACTTATTTTAAAATGTAAAATAATGAAAATGTACTCATATTGTTAGCGTTTTAAACTGACAAATTATCTGAAAGCCTGTGAGAGGAGGGGTATCTGCATCAATGAATATCCTTAGAAATATTTTAAAACACAATAAAATGAAAATGTACTCATATTGTCAAAGTTTATTGTGAAAGTCTGCGAGAGAGAAAGTATGGGTATTGATGATCTGAGAATGCTTTGCCTGGCCACGCCAAGCAATTGACTTCCAGGCCACGGACATCTGCCAGGGAGCGCGGGATAGAAGCGGGGGCTTTATGGATCCGGGACACGTTGTAAATGATTTGCAACGTAGCTATGCCCCGGATCCGCGAGCAGCCCCGGAGGAAGTCTGCGTACTGGTGGACGGGCGAGGTTGCCGACCTCAGAAGAACGGCCAGCCGCGCCCTTCGTCAGTATACCCGTGCTCGGCGCCGCCACTTCTTAGGCGGTGACCCGGAGTGGAGAGTTGCCGAACTGTACGGGGTGTACAGGTCGGCGGCTGTGGCTGTCAAGCGCGCGATAGCCGCAGCCAAGGCCAGAGCGTGGGACGAGCTCCTACTCACCCTACGTGACGATCCGTAGGGACGCCCATACAAGGTGGTGCTTGAAGAGCCCCGCCCTTGGGCGTCCCCTGTCACGGTGAGGTTAGACCCGGAATTC